TAACTTATTTTATTTTATTCGTTTTAGTGCAGTTTTGACAAAATTTTATTGCTAAAAAATCTTTTGTTACACTACTTTATTTTATTCCTTTGATTACATTGTTTTATTTTATAATTTTTAGTCCATTTATAAAAGCGTTGTATATTAAAAAGTGTTATTTCATTTTATGTACAAAATTTTGCAATAGATATTAAAATAATTCAACTTGCAATGAAAGATAACAGAAGACTTGCCAAGCAAAATGTTGTTTGCTTACAGTGGCTACACACGACGAGCATATCCGCGCACATGCGCGGCTTGCGGGTCATGTTCGTCGTTTGTAGGGCGGTTTGCGAGCATGCTCGCTAAAAATCAAAAAATTTTGAGCGAGCATGCTCGTCGTTTGTAGCGTGGTTTGCGAGCATCGCATTGGAAACAAAAACAACAACCTCATTTTGTGTTGATGCTTGCAGTGTGCACATCGCGGATAAATGCATCCAAGCCATGTGCGTTAATTGAATTTTTGATAAATGAGGCTATATTACTATATGTATATGTATGTACATACATATATGTAAAATATAAATAAATTTAAGTAACACATACATAAAAAACCCTAAGTCATAAGTATTTCAATTGCATCATCCGCGTCTTTCCTTTCCATGTTTACGCTTTGAGTACAAAATCACTTATGAGCCGCTCGCCGTCTGTAGCAAACGACAGCGAGCATGTTGGCGCACATGTGCGCGGATATGTTCGTCGTGTGTAGCCACTGTTACGCTTTGTATAAACATACATATGTACATATAGCAGCAGTTAATTTTATTTAAAGAAATGGCGTGTCGTCCATTTCCGTTGTAGCATGGCATATATTTAGGCGCAATATTTAACTTCTTCTGTCGGGGCGACATCTGGAGTCTTCTAATTCTTACAGCGAGGTTCATATCTAGACTAGGTTGATATCAGAATTTGCCACAAGTAACTTTGCTACACTATCGCCGACAGCTTTAACAATGTTATAGTGGTTTTACGTTCTTTGGCAAATTACGCTCTGTTAGCCATAAATCTTACTATTTTTTGACCGCCTTTGAATCAAGACCCCTGGACCATATGGGGAATTCATTTATATTTTAAATTGCATTGTCATCGTGATTGGAACTATGCTGAAAATTTCAAGTCTCTAACTTGTCGGGAAGTCAGTTTAAAATCGATTGGAAATTTCCGCGATTTGCGCGGGATGACCAAGTTAAATAAAAGCTTATAATAAAAATTGAGTGAATTAAAGAGGCACAATATTGAACTGGAGGCCCTTAAAAGAAGGGAGCTTGATTTGCAGGAAAAATTACTGCGGATACAAGAAAGAAGCCAGCAAAAATGAACTAATGGATACATTTTTTTTTAAGATTTCTTTATTTTTGAATTTAATTTAATTTTGCACTGAACTGCTGATTTTTTAATTTTTTTTATTTAAAGATTATTGGATTTAAGACTATTAGATTTAAGAATATAACTGAACTAAAGAAGTGAACTAACGTTTGTGATATCTGTATATATGTATAAACTATTAGATTTAAGAAAAGAACTGAACTAACGCTTGTGATATATGTATAAACCTATTAGATTTAAGAAAAGAACTGAACCTAAGAGATGAACTAACGCTTGTGATAACTGTATATATGTACAAACAATTATATTTAAGAAAACAACTGATTTTTTTGTATATTTAGTTTTAAGTAAAGAACTGAATTTATTTTAAATTTTTTATATCAAATAAATATGAAGTACAAAGTTATGGGATTGTTTTCATTAGTTGGGTAATGATCTCACAATTCGCATTCTTATGTCTGACGCTTCTCTGGAAAATTCTGATGGCGCTTCCTCTTCATTTACATCTTGATATTCATCATCCATAATATCAGGTGTATTATCTTCTACGTTGTAGTGGATGCACATGTTATGCAATGCGCATACCACATTAATTATTTGTACCACTTTTTGGGGCGAATAATGTAGTTGGCGAGCACTTAGCAGGCATCGAAATCTATTTTTCAAAACGCCGATGACTCTCGACTATGTTGCGCGCTTTACTGTGCGTTTTGTTGAAGGCGCTTTCTCTACTTCCTGCCACAGGAGAACGGAATGGTGTAATTAACCACGGCTGTAATGGATATCCAGCATCGCCTGTTAAACAAAATATTTTTAGTTATATTTAACACATTTTGCTCTCATTCCACTTATAACATACCTAATATCCAAGTTGTTTTGTCTCCTTGCCGATATCTCTCTTCAAAATAGGTTTTTGCAGCGCTTACATTCCACACATGTGAGTCGTGGCTACTGCCTGGAAACCGAGCATCAACGCACCTTATTTGCATCTTGTATATCTATTTAATAAATTTACGATAAATTGCACGTACAAAATCACTTTGCTCTTGTGGTTTTACTTACCACCATTGCATTTAGGCTGTAGTATCCCTTACGATTGTAGTACAAATACGGTTCGTCTGCAGGAGGAAGTATTTTAATGTGCGTGCCGTCCACACACATAATAACGCCAGGGAATTGCGTTCTCCTGTAAAACCACATTTTGGCTCGTTTATTCTCCTCCTCCGTCATTGACAATTTAATCCATACTGGGCACAGTCGGCGTTCCAAGATGTTTAAAGTTTTTGTCAATGTTTTTGAGAACGTTGATTGCGCCAACCCCACATCAAAATCTTTCCCAACACCGTGTTGGTAGCTTCCTTCAGCGAAAAACCTCAAAACTGCCATCAATCTACTTACAGGAGTCACCGATGATGATTTTACACTTCGCCCAAGCTCTTCCTCCATAATTGTTAAAACGCTTTTAAATGCGTCTTTGTTGAGACGGAAATTTTTTACAAATCTTTAAACAATAAAACGATTATTTTATATGTGTATCAGTGAAATCAATTATAAAACTTACATTTTATCATTTAAGCTAAATGGATCAGAACTGTCTCGTAGCAATCTCCTTTGTATATTAATGCAACAGTTGACTGCAGCATGTTCTTCCTCCTGAGACAAAAGTGCACCGGCCACTGAATCCATTCTATTTTACTTAATTAAGGAAAAGCTTTTTCAAATACGATTAAACAATTTTTTGGAATTTCACTGTTCACTTGCGATTCTATTTATTTTGATTTGTTTCTGTCAAAGCAGCTGATTAAGAACTTCGAATTTCACTATTTTAGTTGGCAACGCCGTTGATAGTTACGATCGGATTACAGCATACCAATTTTCGAATTTTCGGAACGGAGCTACGGATTCGTAACTACGAACTTTCGGATTACAGCATAGGGGTGATAGTATTACTTTTCATATCAATTCAAGTCTATTACATGCGCCCCTCGCTTTTCATTTTCAATCTCTTAAATTGTTTATACTGACTTTTGCTAAAAAAGTTATCAAAAAAATTCTATGGGACTGAGAATTGTTATTTTTTTTACTTTTTAGTACATTTATAAAAGTATATTAAAACGTTTTTTTTTCTACTTTTTGTCTTGTCTGCATAAAATAATTCAACGATATTAATAGATTGGTGCTTACACATATTATACGGCACTCCCAGCGTCCAAAAACATGTTAAAACACCTTAACCCTGGGATTCAGTAAGCGGTCTCTAGTCACTTATAGTGACTTTTGGTGGCGAACATGGATATTGAGACTATTTGGTATTCAGTAAGATGTCTCACGTCTCTAGTCTAAAAAAAAAGTCACTAATTTGTCAGCTGGCTCTGAGCTGGTCACAGAAAGAAAAATATGGAGGAAAAGATAATTGCTTTCTGTTTTATTAAAAAAAAAAAACGCGCAAATGAAGCGAAGAAATATTTGTTCACAACAATTTCATTAGGAAATAAACCAAAATTCCTTTAATATCACACAAATTCATTGAAAAAAAATTCCTTTTTGTTTTTAAACCATTAAAACCTAAAGATTATACAAAAAAAAATAAAACTAACCAAAACAAGTAAGAAAGTCTAAGTTCGGGCGGAGCCGAACATTAAATACCCGGCGCAATTATTAAATATATGTTTTCCACCTTTCCGAAAACTACCGCTACACGATAAGCCGGGGTGTATAAATTTTAAGTAAATTATCGTCCTTAAATTTCGAAATATTGAAGTTTCAAGCATTACTGAAATATACCGTTATATGAAAAGTGGTCGTAATTTAGTCCGATTTCAATAATTTTCAACGCTTTGCTTTTATGTGGCAAGCACAATAATCATACCGAGTTTGGTTCAAATTGCTAGAACGGTTAGCGAGATACATATATGTGATCATAAGTGGGCGGTGCCACGCCTATTTTCCAAAATTGTATCATAAGCGTATTTCTTGGTAAAAAATTGTTGCAACCATCAATTTTGAATAAATTAGCTTTAATATTTACTGATTTATCGAGGATTTCGTATTTTTCTAAATTACCGTTATATGGGATGTGGGCGTGGTTATTGTCCGATTTTAAAAATTTTCGGCCATTAGGTATGTTGTAGCAGGATCAAGAACTGTGCCAAGTTTGGAAGAAATTGGTGAAGCGGTTACCAAGATATACGCATGTAACTATAAGTAGGCGTGGCTACGCCCATTTGCCAAAATTTTTTAATATTCTTATTTTTCGTCTAAAACTCATTGTAAATATCAATTTTGAGTGAATTATCTTCAGTAGTTACTAAAATATCGCACTTTTCGTATTTCTGAAAATTACCGTTATATGGGAGGTAGGCGTGGTTATTGTCCGATTTCGCCCATTCAATACCGTCCGTCCCATGCCCAAAAGAAGTCCACGTACCAAGTTTCGTTAAGATATCTCAATTTTTACTCGAGTTATCGTGTGCACAGACGGACGGACGGACGGACGGACGGACAGACAGTCACCGCTTAA